AGGGGAAACTACAGTGACCCACCAAAAGTCTGGCACCACCCACACCATTTTTTGGATCACCACCACCACCACCACGACCCCCTTAATCATTCCATGGCCGATATCTACCGCAAATAGGCATAAAAAGAAGCAATTTTTTAATATAACTATTAGAAGATCGTTAATTTAACCATGAATTTACTTTAAAGCAAAGAGCTATTATAATTATTATAATATTAGCTGGTATATTAATATGATATGTTATATATATAATATATATATCCTATATAACTATATAATATATAATTAAGTATTATTTTAATACTAACTTTCTTAAATCTATCTAATAAAAAGAATAGTTCTATATTCTTATACTAAGAAATTAATATCTAATTAAAATAATAGTCTATTAGAAGTCTTAGACTATTATAAGAGAGCTTTAAAACTAGCTATTCTTCTCTATAAGTTAAAGATCTATTTAATAGATCTTATATAAATTTATAATTTATTAGTAATACTATATTAAATAAATATAATTAATTATAAAAGATATATAATTATAGTATCTTTATATCCCCTCTTAGAGGGTTTATAACTATAGTGTAATTCTATAGTATCAGATTGATTAATTAATTAAGACCTTATATATAAGTTATTCAAATAGCTTCTATTAACTCTATTTAATTTACAACCCTACTAAGACAACTATTAATACAGCAAAACCACTTCTATTCCTCCTTTCTTCTCTAAAGACACTTAACCATCTTCCTTAGATATTCTAGTTATAGTTAGTATTTCTTAATACTAAAGAGGTAGTTAAGATTTAGATTATTAGATTATATCTCTTTAAGGATAACTAGACTCTTAAGTAACTTTATAATATTAATAGTCTCTAGTAGGCTGTATCTAAAGCCTAGAAGACTATAGTTATTAATATTATTAATTCCTTTAATAGCCTTATATAATTTACTTAGATTAGACTTAGAAAAGATAAACTTCTTAACTTTATTAAAGAGTTATTTATTCTTCTTATTAAATATTATAGAAATAAGAAAGAATAGTATCTCTTTAGTCTTAGATATATATATTAGTATTATATAGGATTATTTAATAAAGAATATACTTAAGAGTCTTAATATAGATAAGTATAAGAGATAGACTTAAGAGAGCTAGTAATAGAAGGATAGATTATTTTATATATATTTAAGATAATCTCTTAGTAATAGTCTTAAAGTATATTATTATAGCTTATAAGATAGATTACTTATTATTAAGAGATTATTTATTATAATAATTTAGTTATATCTATTATTATTAAGTAAATAGCTTATATATCTAGACTTATAAACTTATATATATAGATATCTAGATAAGTTAACTTATTAGTTAATTATAGGCTAAACTATAATTAAGAGATTAAAAAGTCTAGAACTAATTTTAAATCTTAATTATAGTTAAGAGGTTTAAAAGTCTAGAACTAATTCTAAGTCTTAAATCTATATTAAAGATAGTTAATAGTTATTAGACTTAAGAGTCTTTATAATTAGAGGACTATACTTAATTAATCTATAATAATAATAATATTCTTATTATTAGAAATTATTATAATATCTCTAGAATATAGATATTATATTTATTATATCTCTTTTAACTATATTATATTAATAGTATAACTTAGCTTATATCTAATAGATATATTAAAAATAAATAAAATAGATAGATAATTTATTATATTTAATTATTATTATTTAGTAGTTAATTTATAGTTAGTAATTAGTCTATAATTAGTTAATTTAATAATTAAAACTATAAACTAATAACTAACTATAAACTAATTAACTAACTATAAATTAATTTTATAATTTTAAATATAGGCTTAAAGATTAATAAAATCTAGCTACTATCTCTTTAATAGAAATTACTATATCTATTTAATAGAATTATTAATATTATTCTATATAATATACTTATCTAAGAAGTATAACTATATTAAAATTAGCTAGAGAAACTCTATAGATTTAAAAGTATATATATTTATTAATTCCTCCTCTTTATCTTTCTATTTATATATATAAAGATACTATCTATCTATTTTATTTATTTTTAATATACCTATTAGATATAAACTAAGTTATACTATTAATATAATATAGTTAAAAGAGATATAATAAATATAATACCTATATTCTAGAGATATTATAATAATATCTAATAATAAGAATATAATTATTATTATAGATTAATTAAGTATAGTCCTCTAATTATAAAGACTCTTAAGTCTAATAACTATTAACTATCTTTAATATAGATTTAAGACTTAGAATTAGTTCTAGACTTTTAAACCTCTTAACTATAATTAAGATTTAAAATTAGTTCTAGACTTTTTAATCTCTTAATTATAGTTTAGCCTATAATTAACTAATAAGTTAACTTATCTAGATATCTATATATATAAGTTTATAAGTCTAGATATATAAGCTATTTACTTAATAATAATAGATATAACTAAATTATTATAATAAATAATCTCTTAATAATAAGTAATCTATCTTATAAGCTATAATAATATACTTTAAGACTATTACTAAGAGATTATCTTAAATATATATAAAATAATCTATCCTTCTATTACTAGCTCTCTTAAGTCTATCTCTTATACTTATCTATATTAAGACTCTTAAGTATATTCTTTATTAAATAATCCTATATAATACTAATATATATATCTAAGACTAAAGAGATACTATTCTTTCTTATTTCTATAATATTTAATAAGAAGAATAAATAACTCTTTAATAAAGTTAAGAAGTTTATCTTTTCTAAGTCTAATCTAAGTAAATTATATAAGGCTATTAAAGGAATTAATAATATTAATAACTATAGTCTTCTAGGCTTTAGATACAGCCTACTAGAGACTATTAATATTATAAAGTTACTTAAGAGTCTAGTTATCCTTAAAGAGATATAATCTAATAATCTAAATCTTAACTACCTCTTTAGTATTAAGAAATACTAACTATAACTAGAATATCTAAGGAAGATGGTTAAGTGTCTTTAGAGAAGAAAGGAGGAATAGAAGTGGTTTTGCTGTATTAATAGTTGTCTTAGTAGGGTTGTAAATTAAATAGAGTTAATAGAAGCTATTTGAATAACTTATATATAAGGTCTTAATTAATTAATCAATCTGATACTATAGAATTACACTATAGTTATAAACCCTCTAAGAGGGGATATAAAGATACTATAATTATATATCTTTTATAATTAATTATATTTATTTAATATAGTATTACTAATAAATTATAAATTTATATAAGATCTATTAAATAGATCTTTAACTTATAGAGAAGAATAGCTAGTTTTAAAGCTCTCTTATAATAGTCTAAGACTTCTAATAGACTATTATTTTAATTAGATATTAATTTCTTAGTATAAGAATATAGAACTATTCTTTTTATTAGATAGATTTAAGAAAGTTAGTATTAAAATAATACTTAATTATATATTATATAGTTATATAGGATATATATATTATATATATAACATATCATATTAATATACCAGCTAATATTATAATAATTATAATAGCTCTTTGCTTTAAAGTAAATTCATGGTTAAATTAACGATCTTCTAATAGTTATATTAAAAAATTGCTTCTTTTTATGCCTATTTGCGGTAGATATCGGCCATGGAATGATTAAGGGGGTCGTGGTGGTGGTGGTGGTGATCCAAAAAATGGTGTGGGTGGTGCCAGACTTTTGGTGGGTCACTGTAGTTTCCCCTAGATATCTCCCACAACCAGCCTCCTCTAGAACAAGAGGAGAGAACACAACAATACACACGATCAGCGGTCCAACAGCTGCTTGTAGCGCAGCTGGTGGTAAAGCAACGACTTCACGGTCATTAGTCCGTGCAATTTGACCGCAGGGATGCCTACATCCATTTCAATGGCAATCACTTCTAAACTGAAAGCTGTACTATTACAGGCATGGAGCTCGCCATCCTAAGCGGCAGTGGCCAACTGGTTCCAGCGATGCTTGTGCTGATGATCATGACGGTGGAGTACAGGCGCTGTCTCCGATGAATGTGATGAGATACATAAGAGCGAAACAACGGTGGATGTTGGTTCTGACGTGCCGCATTGAAGCCACCGGCGAGGAGTGTTGGGGACTGACCATGCCTTCTCGGCGACTTGAGTCCTGGGATATGGGCAGCGTGTGCTTCTATTGGCGGATAAAGAGCGCGAACCTAAATCCTAGTGATGCGGATATTGCACATCCGCTCATGTTACATCGGGCGACAACCTTAAGACGCCACGCCCGTGCAGGCCATGACAAGGGCCATGGGACCCGGCGTCTCCAGGCCTCCGGGCCCCATATCATTGGTTACTGGCTGGCTCACGATACCGGATTGCGGGTCGCGAAGCCCCGTCCTCCATGGACCGTGCTTCCGTATACTGCTTTCGTCGTACTGTGCCTAAGAGGAATTTCGATCATCTAGCCTATTCTAGATGGGCCCGAGATGCTCGGAAGGAGCTGCGGCGACAAATCTAACTGAGCGGCATCGAGCAGAGCGATGCCTGTCAAGCTTCAAGCATGGATTTCTTTATCTAGACCGCCTGTGTATAAAGCGCATCGCATGGCTCCTCCTACGCCCCATCCGGACAGTACCACCGACCTTTGGGAGGCAAGCCAAATCACAGTATACAGACGGTCTTGATACAAGATGAAGTATCTAGTGCTTGCAGGTATCATTGGCACTGTTGTGCTGGCAGCACCATTGGATGAGCGTCAGCAGGCATGTGGATCAACATGGTGATTCTTCTCAAAGTCTTTGATGGCGACCTCCAGTATATACCGGAACGCTGCTAACATCCCGCAAGGACCCAATGTGGTGGAATGGGCTGGTCAGGCGCCACTTGTTGTTCATCTGGGAAGTATGTCAATTCCCGTATTTCTGGACTTTATTGGCTGGGATGGATAAATATCAAGCTGACGAACCTTGAAAGTACTTGTACCAAGATGAATGACTGGTACTTCCAGTGCATCCCGGGGTCTTCGGACCCTACCACCGCCTCGAAGTCGACGGCGGTACCTACGACCAGCTCAAGCACCAGCACAGCCCCGACTTCGCAGCCCACCTCACCCGATGGCGGCTGCGAGCCCGGTACCTTCAAGTGGCTCGGCGTGGACGAATCGTGTGCGGAATTCGGCCAGGGCAAGTATCCCGGTGTCTGGGGCAAGGACTTCATCTTCCCGGCGGAATCTAGCCTATCTGTGAGTATCTCTGTGGTGGCGAGAAATTACGTTTCTGCAAGCACGTGAACATCTGCTGACTGCTCTCAAGACGCTCATCGCGGACGGCTACAACATGTTTCGCATACCCTTTTCCATGGAGCGCATGGCACCCGAACAGCTCACCAGTCCTCTCGCGGCAGCATATCTACAGAATCTAACGCAGACAGTCAACTTTATCACCAGCAAGGGGGCTTGGGCAGTGGTCGACCCACACAACTTCGGCCGTTACTACGGCAATATCATCACCGACAAAGCTGCCTTCCAGAAGTTCTGGGAGAACCTGGCGGCGGCGTACAGGACCAACGACAAGGTCATTTTCGACACCAACAACGAATATCATGACATGGACCAGACGCTCGTCCTCAACCTCAACCAGGCTGCGATTGATGGGATACGCGCAGCGGGCGCCTCGAGCCAGTATATCTTTGTCGAGGGCAACTCGTGGTCTGGCGCGTGGACTTGGAATGTGACCAACAACAACCTCGCCGCTCTGAGCGACCCCAAGGGCAAGCTCGTGTACGAAATGCATCAGTATCTGGACTCTGACGGCTCCGGAACATCAGATGCCTGCGTCTCTGTCGACATTGGTGTGCAACGCGTCACGGGTGCCACGGCGTGGCTGCGCCAGAATGGCAAGATTGGCATTCTAGGCGAGTTCGCCGGCGGGGCAAACGCTCAATGCCAGACGGCCATCAAGGGTATGCTCGACCATCTCAAGGCCAATAGCGACGTCTGGACAGGCGCTTGCTGGTGGGCTGGCGGACCATGGTGGGCAGACTACATCTACAGTTTCGAGCCGCCGAGTGGGAAGGGTTATACCTACTACAACTCCCTCCTCAAAACCTATGCGCCTTGACGTGCCTTCCGGCTCATGTCTGGTCTCGTATTGCTCGCTGTCTGCTCGTGGAGGGAGACCGGGCCTTTCCAGACACCGAAGACATGGGAAGATACCGAGGAACGAGGATAAGGGTATCGGTCCAGGTGGTTATGATTGTTTGTTTGTCTGTCTGTTTGTTCGTCTCTCTCTCTCTCTGTCTTTCTTTACTGTTTCTGCATGGGTGGGGATGGCCTGGGTTGGTACACTCGCCCTCAAGACTAGTCTGAGTGCTCCTATCTCACCTGATCCCGCCCTCAGTACTTTATATCCATTGACCAGTCTCTGGAAGATGCAGGGACATGTGTATGGGTTTCTGTTATCGGCCACCTCCTTGGTCCTGTACGTCGTCGGAAACATCGTGACGCTCCATGGTCTGGGCCAGAGGGGGAGGCGGTGACCATGAATTTTAGAAAATAGCAATGCCATTAGGCGGGCTAGCCACACCTCCAGGGACCTGCTCATATACCAACAGTCGTGAGCTCGTGCGTGGAAATGCGGTGGCCACACTGAGGCCTCGGTGCATAATGGACATACCTTCAAAGGCACACTGCTGAAGAAGAAGGACCAGCGTTGCCTCCTTCTGCACTCTTCGCCCAGCCTCTCCAGGTCAAACAGCTCGCCGATTGGCATTCCCCAGCCGGCGAGCAACCATTCGTGAAGCCAAAAGTCCGGGTTCTGGCAAGGCCAAGCCTCGAAGCTGGGTTGATCACCAGCGACGGCGGCGAAGCCTTGGTCCCAGAGCCAACGAAGAGTCGTCTCGGAGGACTCGAGACCAATGGCGGGCGGCGTCGACAGGTCGGCCAGAGCCTGGCACTGGGTGTCGGATAGTAGGTCGTATGCCCGAACCCAGCCGGTGCGGATGAACAGGATATCGCCTTGCCTCCACCGAGTGCCCTGGCTCGCCGCGACCTGCTCGAGAACGGAGACGGAGATGGAGGTTGTGGCGAAGCAGTCCGGCTTGATGCCTTGGGCGTCGGCCCATGCGGCGTAGTCGAGGAGGATGCCCCGGCCGACAACACCCCCGTTCTCAACCCAGACTGGAGGGTAGAGACCAGCGTGAGCAAAGGTGGCCTCGGGGTAATATCAACCAGACCTTGGGTAGGGCGCGGTCGGAGTTGCAGGGCAGCTCTACTTACGATTTGTCCCGATAGCATCCGAGGTCAAGAGGTCGTCGAGCGTACGTCCGCCGAACCACAGCTTCTCCTTTTGGTAGGCGTAGTGCCTGAAGCCATCCCACTGGGAGCTCGACTGGGTGTTGAAGGCCAGGCTGTCGTCATTGACAGAGCGCGGGGCCTTGGTCTTGATGGTGTGGGAGAAGGGGGCTCTGCCGAAGCACGGTTTGGACATGCGATCGAGAGGCCAGTCCGTCGAGATGCGGACGCCATCGATGATCTCCTTGGCGGCAGCAGCGGTGGTCGCGGGCGTCAAGAGGTTCAGCATGCCGCACTGGTCCTGGTCCCCAAACAGGCCCCAGGCATTCCCGTGGGGGCCATCCTTGCGTAGGGGCAGGGAGTTAAAGGACGGCTTGGAGAGGGACATGGTGGAGCGAGGGTAACTGGGCAGTGGGTGAGAGAGATGAAGACTCAACGATTCAGGCCCCAGGACTACGGAGCATGCGATGAGGGCGAATTATTTTCTGCCGCGCGGGGGAGAGGATCTAATCATACAATTCTTAGCACTGCCTGCCACTACGGCAGCTTTCCCCCTCTTGTCCTGTCTTTGAGCCCTCGATGGCCGGCACTTGGGAAGAAGATAGAGCGAGGGGCGACGGTTAGGTGGAGAGCAGGGTGGAGAGATGAGGAGAGGAGGGGAGGAGGATAGGAGGAGTTCCGTCGGATGTATCGCAGTAGGTAGGTAGGTAGTTAACTAGTTACTTGTATTGTAATTAGTTACTCTACTTAGAGAATGAGAAGTCAAGAAGACCAAGACCACGATCACCATACATTATACATCAGTTATGTCCATCTCCTTCTGCTTCTCCAGCCTGTTGTCTGCCATCACATGAAGTCGATTTACCAAACCCCCTTCCAAGCGCATCGAACAGCGCCGGACGACGCCAAGTAGGCCATTTAGACTGTGAGTTTGACAGTCCAGTCTATTTGACTATTTGATAGGTACCGACCTCGGGGAGTGCAGGTAAGGTAAAGTACCTGGCCTACCTCCTCCAGGGAGGCGGGGTGGCGGGGAGAGGCCGCTGCAGTCGCTGTAACATTCCCCCGTGCACGCCGAGTGCGGGATTGATCCGCCCGCGGGTCCGCTCTCGAATCAAGCTACCTACCTAGGTACCTTAAGTACCAACACCAAACGATGGGACCAGACAGGCCACTCTACTCCTTTTTCCGGCGTGGCCCTCTTTTCTTCTGTCCTAAAGAGCCGCCTTTTCCGCCCTCCACCCTCCGCCGAGTCCGCCCTCTTCTTCTGCCTCCCACCAACCAGCACTCAATCAATATCAGCACACTGCGCTCTCTGGTGCAGTCTTATGGTCATCCCTTCTCCCCACCCTCCCCTCTCTTCCTCTCAGAGCGGGAAACACGCCGGGAATGTGAAGCTGAGTGCCTGAAAGTGCCTATCGTCTCTCCAGACGCACACACGCCCGGCCAATAAATCCGACACAGAACAATACAGAGCGACAGTGTCTCCGTCCCACACGCAAATCCTGGCCGCAGCTGCAGCAGTGCCACCCAGAGCCAACCAGCTCCTTCTTCCTCTCCCTCCCTCTCATCTCTTGGTCATCCATTGGGTAATCCGGAGGGCCGACAAGAGCTCCACACGCCGCCGGTCAAAGCGATCCCATCCTGTCCGTCCGGCTACTCCTCGGGTGAACTCCCTTCCCCCCTGGCCGTACCAGACTGGGCCTACACTGTCTGTTTGTCTGTCATAGCACCGTTAGCCAGAGGGCCAGAGGGCCAGAGAACCATGTCGGATTCCGCCGCATCTCCGCTACGAGCGCGGCTCTCAGAAGGGCCCAGCAAGACGACATCGCCCTCCTGGTCACCGCCCCTGAGCACCGACCGGAAAAGGCCGAGAGCTCTCGTGGGCGCTGACGAGTCTGGAGACAAGAGACAGAAGGTAAGCAGAGCCTGCGACACTTGCAAGCAGCGCAAAGCCAGATGCACTGGCACCCTGCCCTGCGATGCGTGTGTTCGCAAGGGCATCCCCTGCCTCTACGCCTCCAAATACAGCCGTGGAAGGCCCCCCACCCCGCCTCCCGCTACCGCTGCCGCTGCACCTGCGGCTGCCGTCGATGCATGTCCCGCACACGACGAGGCCAGGCACGGTAGGCAGATCGGCGGGCCCATCGGCGGCTCACGCCAGGGTCAGGATGCCCGCTTGCCGGCGATCGCTGGCACCTACGTGCCGGGTCGTCCGCCCTCCACCCAGCCCACGCCGTTGATCCAGTCCCGGGCGTCGCCCGAGCTGGGCGCCACCGATAGCCAGGGTCATTATGTCGACCCGACCTCCGGCTTGGCCTTCCTCCACCGTGCCTGGAAAAGGCTTTCCACCCAACAGCCGCGTGCCATTGCCCAGGACAACGCCGGCTCCGAGCGGCTTCAGCTGCAGACCAGTGCCGGCGACAAGCCCTTTGACCACGACAGCCACCTCTCGTCCATACTGCCACTGCCGGACCGTGCCACCTGTGCCGAGCTCATAGCCTCCTACTTCGAGGTCTGCATCGCCACATACCGCTTCCTCCACCGCCAGACGGTCGAGATTTGGCACGAGCAGCTCCAGCAGAACCTCGATGCTGGCATGCCCCTCGATCAGGGACTCGGCGAAATGAAGGCCGCCACCGTCCTGACCATCCTAGCCATTGCCGACTTCCACCGCGGCAAGTCGAGGGGCGCCGACTCCCAAGACGAGGCCCTGGCCTTCATCAAGCGTAGCGACCGGCTCTTCGGCACCGCTTGCCGGCTCGCAGACACAGCCAAGGGCAACCCTGCCCTAGACTCGGTTCAGGCTCGGCTCTGCCAAGTCCTGTACCTCCTTCATACCTCGCGCATGAACCAGGCCTGGTATGTCTTTGGCAACGTCATCCAGACCGTCGCTGCACTGGGTCTGCACAGGCGCACGCACCGCAACCGGACCCTGGCAAAGGACCGCTCGGGTGACTACATCACTGCCCAATGTCGCAAGCGTGCCTTTTGGGTCTCCTATATCCTCGACATTTACCTGGGCGTCATCTTTGGCCGCCCTCGTCATTACCACGACGAGAACATCGACCAGGAACTTCCGGATCCGGTCGACGACGAGGACATGACGCCGGAAGGGCCAAAACCGCACAGGAAGCGCAGGGACTGCTCGACCGATTCGCTCATACACCATGCAAGGTGGGTCTGACGACCGAACCCGACTGCCCGTGAGTGCCATGAAGCTTACCGCTTACCGCCATAGGATCACCCGCATTGTTGGAGAAACCTCGCAGCGCGTCTACGCCATCAGCCAATCCCCACAGGAAACACTGGTTCATCTCGTCCAGCGCCTAAACGACGAGATCTCCCAGTGGAACGCCGACCTCCCCCCTCTCCTGGGCTCGGTTAACCCCTCCAGCTTGGTGCACCCTTTCCGCCGCCAGGCTACCGCGATGAAGCTGGCCCGCAACCATGCCGTCATGCATGCCAACAGGCCGTTCCTCCTCGGCAGTTCCGATAACAGAGGAACCCAGTCCACCGTAGTGAGCAGGATCATATCCGACTGCATTTTGGCTGCGAAGGACGTGCTGGAGATGGTCGATGACATGGCTCGCGACGGCACTCTGTTCCATGCCTTCTGGTGGACGCATTATGTCACCTTTTGCGCGCTCGCCGTCATCTATGTTTGGGAGATTCAGCAGGGCGCATCGGGCGCCGCCGCCGCGACTTCCTGGAGCGGCGCTCTGGACGCAGAAGGGTTGTTTGACCTGGCTGAACGATGTCAACTCCACCTGGCCCAGGCCACTGCATCCAACTCGCCCAGCCGGCGCTATAGCATCATCCTCGAGGAACTTCGCCAAGAGGCCTACAGCCAATCTCCCGGCCGGGTCAAGGAGATCTCAACGACGCCTCGGGCTGTCTTGCCTAGCTCGAACGCGGGACCCAACGGCCACGACGGCCTGGAACCAGGGCATGGGAACGGAATGGCCTACGATCCTAGCAGCATCATGCACCACTCGGTCGGGCCCAACTTTTCCGCCATGCCCAGCCTCTGGGATGGATGGCAGACCACCGACTGGCTCGATTTTGATTCAATGGTACGTATGCCTGTATCCTTGCGGCGACTGTGGCAATCTATTGTCCCTAATACGTCTTGTCTCTTGGAGCTGACGAGCCATCTAAATTCTAGGCACTGGGTCCATTTTCCGGATATGCGGCTTCACCAGATTCATGGTATCCCGGCGGGTTCGATTCCACCCCATACCCACCCTAGCCAACAGCCGTGGTGGCGGGACGTGTCCCGGCGCTGGCTGCGCTGTTCGGCCCATGCCAGCCACGCCAGGCTTGCGCTTGTCTTTATCAAACAGTGAACTTTTTGAGGTGCGTGGGCCCGCACTCTCTCGCGATCTTCTTGGCCGTCTCCTCGCCAATCTCCTCGAATATGTCACAACCCCACTGAGACTGGCCATTGAACCTCTTGTGTCGCTCCAGGGAGCTGAGCTCATCAAAAGCTTCCTTGGATAATTCCTGCACCTGCCTGTTGGACTCGATGCGATGGGGCGTGACGCTCTTGGGAAGCACGACAGTCCCACGCTGCACGCCCCAAGAGTAGAGCATTTGACCAGCGTCCATGCCGATCTTGTCGGCAAGAGCCTGCACAGCCGGGTCGTCCACAGTTCTGGGGACGTCCTGCTGGTTATTCCCGAGGGGAGAGTACGCTTCGATGAGAATGTTGTTGGCCCGGCAGAATCGGGCAAGCTCGGGCTGCTGTAAATACGGATGTGCCTCGATCTGATTGACGGCGGGCACGATCTTGGTCTTGGACAGTAGATCTTGCAGCCGGCGTATGTTGAAGTTGCATACCCCAATAGCCCGCACCTTGCCAGTAGAGAGCAGCTTCTCCATGGCGGCGTAGGTTTCTGCAGGGTCGATATCGGCTAGCTCAAATACCCCGTCCTGGTCGATTGGAAACCACTTGTCACTCGGCTTGAAGGCACTGTTCGCAGGAGCACGGGTCAGCACCACTGCCACGGAGCGCCAGGCGCTTGCATGGTGCTCCAACTTACACGGGCCAGTGCATGAGAAAGAGATCAAGGTAGTCGGTGCCAAGGTCGCTGAGCGTCTTGTCCAGGCCCGCCTCGACGTCCTCGGGGCGGTGCATGGTGTTCCAAAGCTTGCCGGTGATGTAGACGTCGGACCGGGGCACACCGCTCGCCTTGATCCCCGCGCCAACCTCGGTCTCGTTGCGGTAGATGGCTGCGCAGTCAACATGGCGATATCCGCAGCGCAGAGCCAGCTCGACGGCACGCTCAACCTCATGCGGACCGGCCTGCCAGGTGCCAAATCCCACTGCGGGAATTGCCGCGCCGGTGTTGAGCTTGAAGTGCGTAGGGAGGGGCATCGCTTTTGAGGCTTGACCTATACCGAGATGTAGGTGGCGTGTCGGTGCGCGCACATTTGCCGGCAAGGGGGCCGTCTATACACAACGTGGTCTTCTATAAAGCAGCAAAGCCTATTGTATCAGCGCGCCGAGAATTTGTTGCTGTCCACCCGTGAATCTCTGCAGGCTGTCTTCCTCTCTTAAGACCAGCGCTTCGGAGCCAAAGGAAACACACTTCGCAAAGAGGAAAATATCGTCGGCCAGCTCTAGAAGAGCTCACTCTTGCATAACACGGTGAGGGGGCGGGTTGGGAGGCTTTTCCGGTATCCGGGGTCCGGCTCCCCACACGAGATGGATCATCCGACCAAGTGCCGTGTTGAAGATATTATACCTTTTTCTATTCCCGCGCCGTCTTGGTCCACTTGGTCCACCCCCCAAGCCTTGCCAGAACCACCATCGTTTTCCGCACTACTAGCTAGCTATCATGGTGGCGGAAAACACATCGTGTAGTGACTTGCTTATCCGCCGCCCTTTGTTCACACGTCCACCCATTCTGTCCAACTGGCTGACCTATTGGTGCCATTTCGATCTAGTCCCGAGCTCGACATTGTGCACCACGTGCAATCCAACCAAACCACACCCAGAGGTAAACGAACGGGCTTTCGCTTTTCCGGCTCACCTAGCGTGGTTATCCGTTGTTCCCGTGTAGAGAGTATGTACCTCACCTAAGAGTCCTGTCTTGAATGTGCATTAGCAATGGGATGGCCGCCACCCCGTCTCCAACAATCATATTCTTCTGTATTCTGGGGTGCAGCGACTCATGTCCCGAGCCTTAATCAACGATCTAACAACTGCTGGACTGGACTCATATATCACTGCTCCTCGTGGTAGAGGCCGCTGTTCACAGCCATCGCAGTCCTTCGGAAGGATCACTCACTTGGTCAACTGCTCGGTGATCGTTTGCCATGGCTCCCCCAATCGCTACAGAATATATTGCCCCTGCGCCGTTGCAGGACAATGCAAGGGCGGGCTCCAAGATCCGGGGAGAGGCCACTGCGCCGTCGAGAGATGCAGTGTTGGAGACGGTCGATGACCTCGTTCGCCACAGAGCACAACTCTGGCCTCACACACCAATAGTCTCATACCCATCGTCAGGCCTCGAGTATGTAGACTATACGGCACAACAACTGGACGTTTTTGCATATCGTGTCGCCAAGCATTACCAGCGTCTGCTGCCGACCCGATCCTCCTCGCAGGAGAGGCCCAGAATCGTGGCCATGCTCGGCCCGTCCAACGTCGAGTATCTGGTCACCATGCTGGGCCTCATCAAGCTTGGCCACACGATTCTCTTCCTGTCCACCAGGATCTCGCAGGAGGCCGTCGAGTCCCTCGTCAAATCCACAGGCGCAGGGGTTCTTCTCTTTGACCCCAGACATGCCGAGCTGGCAGCCGGCGTGGGACAGACTCTCCCTTTCGTGCAATCCGCCGAGATCGCATCGAGGCCAGTGTTTGAATTCCCTGTCGAGGCCTACGTGGATACGAGATTGGACCTGACGCTTGATCACCAGGTAGAAACGTACAACAATGTCTACATAATACATTCTAGTGGTGAGTACCGACTTCTGCCGACGCCGACGCCGACGCCGACTTGACTGGCGCAAGCCCGACTAACGTGCCGGCAAAGGCTCGACCGGGTTTCCCAAGGCCATTTATCAGACGCACAAGGCAGCCTTGGCCAATTACGCCATCAGCATGGAGATGAAGGCATTCATCACGCTGCCCCTCTACCACAACCATGGCATTTGCAACTTTTTCCGAGCCATCTACTGTGGCAAGAGTATCCACATGTACAACGCAGATTTGCCGCTCACCTCGGGCCACCTCATCGCCATCTTTGAGAAATTCCATTTTGAGATATTTTACGGCGTGCCCTATGCCCTGAAACTGCTCTCGGAGACCGACAAGGGCATTGATCTTTTACGCCAGCTAAAGATCGTCATGTATGGGGGCTCAGCCTGCCCTGACGAGCTGGGAAACCTGCTTGCTGACCATGGCGTGAACCTTGTCAGCCATTACGGAGCGTGAGTCGGCACTTGGACGCCACCAAATCCAATCCTGTGAATGCGACTGATCCGTGACCTAGGACCGAAGTTGGCCAGCTCATGACTTCGTTCCGCCCGGCCGGGGACAAGGCGTGGAACTATGTGCGTGAGCATCCCAAGCTCTCACCATTTCTCAAGTGGGTCCCTCGAGGCAACAATCTCTATGAATGCTGTGTCATGGATGGATGGCCTTCAAAGCTCCAGTCGAACCAGGCCGATGGTTCGTATGCCACCAAGGATCTCTTCGAGCCGCACCCAACAATCCCCGGGGCATGGAAATACATCGCTCGCCTCGATGACACGCTCGTCTTGGTAAACGGGGAGAAATTCAGTCCTGTTCAGATAGAGGGCCGTATCCGCTCCGACCATCTCGTGGACGAGGCCGTTGTATTTGGTGCCGGGCGCCCATTCCTCGGCCTTCTCGTCGTCCCGTCAGAATCGACGCGCGCCATGGCCCGGGAGGTCATCCTGGAGAAGCTATGGCCTGCCGTCGAGGAGGCCAATCGAGAGGCCGATGCGTTCGCTCGGATCTCCAAGAACATGGTCAAGGTCCTGGAGCACGACACTCCTTTCCCGCGAACCGACAAGGGAAGTGTCATCCGCCAGGCGTTCTACAAGGCCTTTGCCGCGGTCATCGACGAGGCCTATGACAGCGCAGACATCAGTTCAAGCGACCCGACGGTCATGGGTCTGGAAGAGATCAGGGCATTTCTGCGAGATGTGACGCCCAGGGTGTTACACAAGCAGATCGGGGTTCAAGACGAGACCGACTTCTTCTCGTTGGGCATGGATTCCTTGCAGGCGCTTCAGCTGCGGAGTGCCATCTTGCAAAATGTCGATGTCGCGGGCAAGAAGTTGGGCTTGAACATCGTCTTTGACTATCCTTCGATCGAGAAGCTCAGCAACTTTCTGTTCTCCCTCCGCTCCGGGACAGCAGTTGCGTCAGTTCCGGTCGAGGAGCAGATGGCGTCACTAGTTGGCAGATATGCCACTTTTGCTCCCAGAACGACCCGGAGAGCGTCTGCAGTGGTAAGCATAGCCCGTGTTACTTGTTTCGGGGAGGGGGGCCGGGTGACAGACGGGGTGCTAAACAAGGAGATAGGTTGTAACAGGTTCCACGGGATCGCTGGGCGCGCATGTGGTCGCACGCCTTGCTGGTGATCCATCTGTTAAACAAGTGTACTGTCTCGTGCGTGCCAAGGATGAACGGAACGCACTAGAGCGCGTGAGGAACTCGATGATGCAGCGCAGAGTATACCATTCTCTTCCCCTGGCTAGCCGCAATAAGCTTTTGGCAGTCCCCTTTGACCAGGGGGAGGAGCACCTCGGCCTGGGCAAGAACGTCTACGAAGCCATTTCTCGCAACCTCAGATCCGTCATCCACTGTGCGTGGTCCGTCAATTTCAACCTCAGCCTTGACAGCTTCGAGAGGGATTGCATTGCCGGGGTTCACAACCTGCTCCGCCTGTGCCTCGCCTCTGGCGCCGCCGAGCCCGCCTCTTTCAACTTCTGCTCCTCGGTCAGCTCGGTAGCACGCTGTCCCTCGAGTCGTGTGTCCGAGTCCTTGCCTGATTTCAGCTGGGCTCAAGGTATGGGTTACGCGCAGTCCAAGTCGGTGGCTGAACACATCTGCCTCCAAGCTGCTAAGGTCACGGGCGTCAAGGCGCGTGTCCTCCGTGTTGGCCAGGTCATTGCAGACACACAACACGGCATATGGAATGCCACCGAGGCCATCCCGATGCAGCTACAGACCGCGCTGACGGTGGGATCGCTTCCACGACTGCCCGAGAACCCCTCTTGGCTACCGGTCGACACCGTCGCGCAGGCGGTGCTTGATATTTCGCTGTCAGACGCGGCCAGCCAAGTCGTCAATGTCGCAAACAGCAGGACGTTCAGCTGGAACGATGACCTGCTCCCATTCTTACGCGCGTCTGGACTGGATTTTGAGGAGGTCGAACCCAGAGAATGGGTCCGCCGCCTCGGTGCCTCGAACCCGGACCCCGTGGCGAACCCGCCCATGAAGCTGCTGGACTTCTTCGCCTCCAAGTACGACAAGGATACCATCGACGCGTCCAAAAGCTACGAGACCACAGCGGCCTGTGCTCTCTCCCCGGCCCTCGCTCGTGCCCCTGTGCTGGACCTAGGCCTCGTCAAGACGTTCGTAGGCTACTTTATGAACGGGCCTTGGAAGGCGTCTTGTACGGCTACGGCCGTGATCCGGGAGCCCAAGAAGAAGACGGCCGTGATCTTGGCTGGCCCCTGCGGTAGCGGAAGGACGGCCGTCGGCAACGCTGTAGCTGGCTGGCTAAGGGGTGCTTTTGTTGAAGGAGACTCACTACAGAAGCGCCGCGCCGTGCCCGGCGTGGGCGGCGGCATGGCGCTCGTCGGCCAGGATCAACGGGACTGGCTTGACCGCATCCGTGGGCATGTACGCGAAGCAGCCCTCGATCTGGGATATGACGTTGTGGTAGCAAGCTGCTCGGCCCTGAAAAGAGCACACCGGGACCATCTGAGACAGGGCTTGCGGTCTCGAGACGGTATGGAAGTGCTGTTCATCGACCTCCAAGCGTCGCAAGAGGCTCTCACCGAGAGGGCTGGGAAGCTCAGGGGCCAGGATATGACCGCACAGATGGCCCTGGGCCAGGTTGAGGAGCGGGAGGAGGTGCATAGTGATGAGGTCGACGTTGTTCCTGTCGGTGCTGAGGGAACTATGGAAGACGTCCTGGAGGAAGTGCGCTGGGCAATCAACAGGGCGCTGCGGCTTTCGTGACGGCAACCAGTGAGGCCGCGCGCGCATCTCTGCAGCCGCCTCTCCGGCCTGTGGAGCATCTGCTACTTTGAGCACTTGTGGCATCGCAGTCATTCATGCACGGCCTGTGTCTACCTCGAGCACGTGTCTTTAGATATGGATTGTCATGCTAGCTAGCATTTTGAAATGATATTGGAATTGTGTCGGTGCTCTCTTTCCCGACCAGTCTCATGGGGTGGTGTCGTAGCTATTCATCACGATACCAATATTACTTGAATATCTCATCAAGTGTCTGGCTCTCCTCACGAGGAGTACCTTAGGTACTTGTAGGCAGTAAGTACGGAGCACAGTAGGTGCCTACTTGTACTTTAAGTACCTACCTAGGTACCTAGGTAGACTAAGGAAGACCAGTCAGTACTTGAACCTGTACAAGTACCTTATGTCCCCCACTTCTCTCCACCTGCGGACACTTTGTTTGGCACCAATCAAGTGTCGTGCCTTCCCTCTCTGTCCTCTTGGTTTTTTTCTTTCTTTTTTTTTTCCTTCGCTTTTCCTTGGATGGTTCCAATTTCCTGCAATCGGGACCCGCCTTCCCTAATAACGAGCCGCCTGGAAAGCCTAGAACCCCCCCTGGACCAACCCCCCAACTGCCCCCCAACTGCCAACCAACTGTAGCGGGCACATCCCCGGGCCAGGTCACTCACTACCAGTCTCAGTCTCGACCGAGCGTTAGTTATCTGTCCCAACCGATTGACCCAATCTCATTAATCTCGCTCTAGCTGTCTTCACTCCATTCCACTGCAACAAAAGGGGGAAAAAAGGGAGCAGAGAAGGGATTTCCACTACAGACGACCTCGACCTCGACGGGAACCTCTTGCATGTCTCGTCTCGTCTCCTCTCCAGAGCTCGCCGCCACGGTCTGGACAAGTTGAATCCTCTTGGGACGCGCTATCCCGCGCGGGTTTTTGGGTTCCTGTTTTTCTTCCTTCTCTCTCCGACTGACGCCGCGCGTAACCAACACGGATATTGAAATCATCACCACCTCCGCCGTCTCGACGAGGAACAGCGCCCGCGCCTGTCCTCTGCCACTCGTTCGATCGTCGCCTGCACTGCCCTCTCGCTCGGCCATCAAAATCGAGGGCCCTCTCCCCGGGCCCTTGCTCCTGCTGCTTCTTGGCCAGCTTTGCAAACCTGGCCTCGCAAGCGCCCTTGTCGACTTCGCCATCCCTTTGGACCGGATATCTTCCCACAATCCTCTTCATCCTCCTCCTCCTCATCACAACATCACAACTGCACCGGCCACTGCCCCAATCCGGTAGCCCGACGCATCCCGACACACGCAGCTCTTCACTGTGAACTCGCAACCCCGACCCGCGCCCACGAGGGGCCAAGCTCCCTGGCTGCCCCCCTTATCGACACCTCCCTGCTCGACGCATCCGACTGTCGCACCTTTCCATCACCATGGATCTCGTACGCCGAGCTCAGAGATACGTGCCCTTGGGGCGAACGCCCCAGTTGCCTTCTACCGATGAAAAGGGTCGCGCTCAACGCCCCAAACTCTTGCCCGGTCTGGCCTTCTTCAAGCGACCCCTCCGCTTAAGAGGCAACTCGACCATCTCGGTGCCCCTGGGCGTCGTCATTCTCTTCCCCTGCATCGTCGTCGTCCTCATCCTGCTGCTCTTTGTCAGGCACCCCAGCTCCCCGGGCAGGATCCTCATGCCCGCCGGAGCACCTCCCGCCATCAGGTAAGCTCGCGTCTCCCTTGGGACTCGTGTGACAGGACCGGCTCGTCGCCGTCGTTCGTCATCGCTACTCCCGCCACTCCCGCTACTCCCGCCATCTCATTCTACTTTCTGCCGCCTCTAGTAGATTCCGCCTGCTGACCACTGGTGCTTGTCTCTCAACAGGAAAATCAGCGAAGAGCACGACAAGGTCTTCGTCACCGGCTGCCTCGAGCCCAAGACCGACACCCCCCGTGCCAAGGCTGCCTTTGTCGTTCTCGCGCGGAACAAGGAGCTCGACGGCGTCATCCAGTCCATCAAGTCCATCGAGCGCCATTTCAACAGGTGGTACCACTACCCCTATGTCTTTCTCAACGACGGCGAGTTCAACGAGACCTTCAAGGCCGTCGTCACCAACTACACCTCGGCTCCTTGTGAGTTTGGCGTCGTCGGCCCCGACATGTGGGGATATCCCGACTGGATCGACCACAAGGTCGCCAAGGAGGGCATTGCCAAACAGGGCGACGCCGCCGTCATGTATGGCGGTCTCGAGAGCTACCATGCCATGTGCCGCTTCTACTCTGGGTACGTCACTTCCCCGAGAGGGCCATCTCCCCTCAATGACTAACGTGATTTCTTCGTGTCATCTAGCTTCTTCTACAAGCACCCTCTTCTGGCCAAATACGAATGGTACTGGCGCCTTGAGCCCGAGATCAAGTACTTTTGCGACATCACCTAGTAAGCACCACGCGAAGCTGTCCTGCACGCATGCGCGGGCACAACACTGACCACTCTACTCGCTCTGCCTCAGTGACCCTTTCCTGAAGATGATCGAGCATAACAAGACGTACGGGTTCACCATCGCCGTCAAGGAGCTCCGCGAGACTGTCCCCAACATCTTCCGCTATGCCTCCGCCTACAAGCGCCTGAATAACATCACTTCCCAAGGCCTCTGGGAGATGTTTGTCGAGCCCAAGCCGGAGAAGGCCAAGCCTGCCGATCTCCCCGAGGACGCGCTTCCTGACGAGGTCACCCGCAATGACCCCAACCGCAACACCCCTATCGAGATCGATCCCGAGGCGATGGAGGGTGAGAAGTACAACATGTGCCATTTCTGGTCCAACTTTGAAATTGCTCGCCTTAGCTGGTTCCGCAGCAAAGAATACAATGACTTTTTTGAGATGATGGATCGAAGCGGTGGTTTCTGGATGGAAAGGGTATGCTGCGCCCCCCCCTTTTTTTTTTTCCCTCTGCGATCCCCAAGCCGCGCCACGGCGCGCATTCTGACTGGAGTTTGTGGCTGGAGTACTGACTTGTCTTGACACTGTAGTGGGGTGATGCGCCCATCCACTCCCTTGCTGCCGGCGCTCTGCTTGCCCCCCGCGACATCCACTACTTCCGCGACTTTGGATACCGACACACGACTATCCAGCATTGTCCCGCCAACGCCCCAGCGCGTCAGCTGCCCCGCGAGCCCTTCCTCGAGACTACGACGACGGACGAGCGCAAGCGTCTCGAGGAAGATCAGTACTGGGATCAGTTTGACCCACCCAAGGAGAACGGCGTGGGCTGTCGCTGCCGCTGTGATACAGACATTGTCGATGTGGAGGGCAAAGAAGGCAGCTGCCTGGCTGAGTGGGTTGATGTTGCTGGTGGCTGGGCAAGTCCTTGAGAGAGCAGGGTCTCTTTTCTCCCATGCCGTCTCTTCATTTGGGCTGCTGCTGGCCACACCTCTGGGATCGAGACCGAGACCGAGACAGTGCGCTTCTTCTCTGAGAACGCATCAGGGTGACAAGTTTTGTCTCCTCCCATGCGATCTGAGTGCTGCGAACTCGCAGCTACTGGCATATTCGCACATTCATGCCTTGTTTGCCTCGACAGCTCTATTATCATTTGTTGTTCTTTCGATACGGCGCAAGAGTGGGAGTGTTCAAACTGTACAAGATCATCGGACGCGGGGATATAACATTAGGGAAAGCGTAAACAGGAGCGGCACCTGCAAGACGTTGATTGCACCCTCTCGGAGCAACTTAATATTTCTGTTTTCTTTTTGGATGATAATGACGGGGTCAGCGGGCAAGTCCACCCGAGTGCGGCTTGCTCATATACCGCTGGGAGAAAGGTATAGACGGGGGCGGTTGATATAGGATGCATCGGAGAGTACTGCTGTCCGACTTATAGTGTTTACAATCGCATGCATACATACATAGGTGCATCGCTGGTGTCCATTCTTGTTTCTTGGCGAGACCCATCCAACGGATTCAAAACTGGGTTGCATGACGATTCGTTGTGAACGGTGTACACACACCCCTTAGTCCCCTTGGTCTATCGCCCTTGGTCTGTCTGTCTACCCTTCACTGCATGCTCACTATGGAAGCCTTCTCTCTCCTACCACGACTCGCCGACATCAGTCACGGCTCCGTGGCTTGCATCGCCGACCAAGCGGGCATACTTGGCCAGCACACCACGCACGGGCAGCATGGGCGGCGCCTTCCAGTCGCGGCGCCGTCGCTCAATCTCCTGCGTGACGGCCTCGTCACCATCCCCGCCACCGACGACGCTGACGATGTCGATGCGGTTCGCCACGGCGTCGATGCGCACCGTGTCCCCGTCCTGCACCAGAGCGATGGGCCCGCCGTTGACCGCCTCGGGGACCACGTGTCCGACGATGAAGCCGTGGCTGGCGCCGCTGTAGCGCCCGTCCGTGACCAGGGCCACGTTGCTCAGCCCGGCGCCCATGATGGCCGCGCTGGCTCGCAGCTGCTCGGGCATGCCCGGTCCGCCCTTGGGGCCCTCGTACCGCACAATGAGCACGAGGTTGCCGTCGGTGGCCTTGATGTCGCCGCGCGCCAGGGCGTCGTCGAGCGCGTGCTCCTTGTCAAAGACGCGCGCCTTGCCCACAAACTCGAGGCCTTCCTTGCCTGTGATCTTGGCCACGGCGCCGCCCGGCGCCAGGTTGCCGCGCAGCACGCGCAGGTGGCCCGTCGCCTTGATGGGGTCCGACAGGGGACGGATGATCTTTTGGTTGGGGTCCAGCGACGGCCACGAGGCGCAGTTCTCGGCCAGCGTCCTGCCCGTCACCGTCATTACGGAGCCGTCGATCAGGCCCGCGGCGATGAGCATCTTGAGCACGGCCGGGGTTCCGCCCACGCCGTACAGGTCCTCCATGTAGTGCTTGCCTGAGGGGGCCAGGTCGGCCAGGAAGGGCACGCGGTCCGAGGTGCGGGCCACGTCGTCAAGGCTGAGGGGCACGTCGGCCGTGTTGGCCATGGCGAGGAAGTGCAGCACGCCGTTGGTACTGCCGCCGAGTACCATGGTCAGCACAAGGGCGTTCTCAAAGGCGGCGCGCGTCAGCAAGTCGCGGGGCCGGATGTCGAGCTCCATGGTGGTGCGGATGACCTCGGCGGCGCGCTCGCACTCGCGCGCCTTCTCGGGCGACGTGGCCGGGTAGGACGAGCTGCCAGGCAGGGACAGGCCCATGGCCTCGATGGCCGTGGCCATCGTGTTGGCCGTGTACATGCCTCCGCAGGCGCCGGCGCCGGGGCAGGCGTGCCTCTCGATGTCCGACATGACCTCGTCGGCCGTGGCAGCAGAGCCGTCCTTGGCCCGGAGCTTGCCATAGGCGTAGGCGCCCGAGGCCTCGTAGCAGGTGCTGATGTTGATCTGACCGTTGAGCAGGCGCGAGTGGCCCTTGCGGATGGTACCGCCGTAGATCATGATGAAGGGCCGGTTGTGGCGAGCGGCGGCCATGATGACGCCAGGCATGTTCTTGTCGCACCCCGGAATGGCGATGTTGGCGTCGTGGTGCTGCGCGCAAGTGACCGTCTCGATCGAGTCGGCGATGATCTCGCGCGTCTGCAACGAGAACCGCATGCCTGATGGCCGTGCGAACTTGTATGTCAGCATTCGCGGCTCAATCTGAAGATGTGCATATACATGTGTATATGCATGATCAAGAGGACAAGAATGACGATACCTTCGCCGCCCATGGTGATGGCGTCGGACACACCGACGGTATTGTACTGCCATGCCAACATGTTCTGCTTCTCAACACCCCTTTTGACGATTTTGCCGAGGTCCATCACTGGTTTTGACAGCAAAGGGGCCCGTGTTAGTGAAGCTGTAGAATTCCACGCACACTCAAGGATGAGTAGGCCAGTGACTTACAGTGCGTACTATCAGGGCAAGCGTCAGCTCCATGGCTCTTAGCTAACTTGGAGTGCAGGGCGTCGGCTTACTTGCATGGGTTGCCTTCCCACCAAACGGTCGCGATGCCGACATGGGGCGCATTCTTCATCATGTTTTCATCAGGTACACCAGCGCCGTAGAGCATGGCCTTTTGGCTGCTTGTCAGCCGGTTGCCCGTGTGCATCGTGTTGTACAAACACCCAAGAATCATCTCCGTCTTCTCTTTTCTTCGCCGTGGACATTTCCAGGAGTTATCGACTCCCAACTCTTCACCCGCACCACGAGGTACCCGCACCCGTAAACAACAACGAACACGCAGGCGAAGCAAGGACCGGTGAGTGGGCTTACCTGGGCGCCCGGATATTCATGGCCCCTCGTGATCTTCTGCGACCACCTGTTCAGCTTCCCATCCTCTGGCGGCAGGTGCTCAAAGGCAATGTAGTCGCCGGGTTTGCTCTCCCGGGAGTGTTCCTGTTTTTGTCTCTTTTGGTCGGCCATATTATCAACTGCAGGGGACTTCCTGGCGTTGGCAAATCAGAAATGCAGAAGTCAAGAAACGTCCGAGGATCAATCAAGTCTTCTTGCAATGGGGGTTGGGCGTATGTCCTGCGTCTTAGGGACAGCTCGAGCCTGAGGACGACCGTTCTCGGCGCAAAGGCGGGCGGGTGAGCAAGACAAGGGCCTGGAATTGCGGGGTCGTCGCCGGGTGTAGGTAGAGCGAGGATTCGATGTCGGAGGAGGAGAGAGAGAAAGAGAGAGAGAGAGAGATGGAGGCGCATGGGCAAGCGGAGCAGCACCGGTTCTTCTCCTTCCTTCAGGACCCAGGGAAGCCAGGCGACGTCGACGAGCAAGTCGGTATAGTCCGGGCAGGGCAATTGACTACCTTGCAGCTGCAGTATCCGTATGTACACTCGGGTACCAGTCGAGATGTTTGGAAAGGCTGACGCCGAGAAGTGAAACCATGCTCGAGCTACCCCACGCCATGGATGACCCCAAAATCTCGGTCCAAGACCCGAGAAGCGGAGCGCTTGTGCAATCATCTCGCTCCCATTACCAAGAGCCAGGCTGCCAGGGTCCACCCACACCAGCCTGTTGCTCCGACGAGACCCGGTGCGAACCGATCCCCAAGAGCAGCTCTTGTGTCCTGCGGCAGAGACGGGCACTTCATATGTCCCGGATGGTGGTTGAGAGATGAAAAGAGGTGAGTAAAACAAATACACAGACCAGACTTCTATAAGAGAAATCGTATCGTCGCAATGGCAAATCTAATGTACATGCCAGCCAGCCAGTCCACCCGATCCCATCCCATCCCATCCCATCCCACCCAATCCATCATCCATGCCCATCGCGCGCGCGTGTGTGTGCGTCCCCCAATTCCACCCTGACTGTAAGCTCGTACTCGTCATAGGCGGCAAAACTTGCTTATGACTTCAAACGTGACGCCGAGGCTTCTCAGGATGGGACGAAGAAGTAGAAAGGAATAAGGGTTGTAGAATCCCCGTCTCTTTGAATTGACGGATGGAAATGGATATGGCCGACGCGCGACAAGCTGTACAGTGGTGTCATCAAACTCATTCTTCATTCCCGGGCATACAAAACATACGACAAAAGAAAACCGGAACGTCAGAAGGATTGTATGGCAGAGATGCGGAGAAGAGAGTCCTTCTCTGAGGAAGCAGTGATTCAAAAGACCGACTGAACTTTGCACACGACGTTGTGTACCTCGAAAAAAGACACCCATCCGCCGCCTCCTGGCGCCCAAATAGTGGCATGGCCGCCTGTCCCGGACTCGACATATCTTCCCAGCACCTTTTTGGTTTTCACCCATATCCTCGGTTCCCGGAGACCGCGACACAAGCCCCCATCCGTCGACCCAGCTTCGACCGGCTCCTCCTAGATGCAAGAAACAAAACGACACAAGAAATGCAATCGAGGGACCAAAGCGAAAGAGGGAGGAAGAAAGAAAGAAAGAAAAAGAAGCGGGAACCAAAGTTACAAAGCCACCGACAGTGATTGACGAAACATGGTCATCGACACTATCCTTCCTTCATGCAGCCATCAAACCGCCAGTTTCAGAAGTGGGTTTTCAAGAATGGTAAAAATTGCAATCCACCCCGACCGTCACCCGCTCTGAAAGCTTTCCAATCAGCAGCGAGCTGCGTCTGCAGCAACGGCTTGCCCAGATGTTGGAGCATCGTTAGCAATACCGCAACGAGTTGGGCGGCGGTTTAAAGAGGCACGCGTTCCTCTTCCATCCGCTTGACCATCTCCCTCTCCTTTGGGCTTCTGGGGTTGGCATCGATCCCAAGAATGGCCGAGATGCGAGTTTTGTCCTGCTGTCCAGCCGACTTGAGCCCGCTGTAAAAGGCATCTCGGTCATCAGGAGACCCTCCCGGAGTGATGGGCGTGGCGGTCTGCTGGTGAGCGCCGCAGCATACGCCCGACTTCCAGGCCTGTTCAAGGATGGTGGCGCTGGCACCGGCGCCGTATTCGGCCGCGACCGAAGTCCAGAACGAGGTCCGGTGTGCTGCGTAGATGGCCTGCAGACGAGACATGTCTACGGCGCCATGAGCCGAGGGCAGCGGAGGGGGCACGGTTGAGCAGTCGAGGCGAAGATTGGGAGTGGTGGCGGAGTGGGGCGGAATAGGGGTCGTGGCCGTGGTCGGGGTCGGCACAAAACTGGCTGAAGGCAGAAGCGGCGCGCTGTGAGGTGTCATGACGTCGCAGAGCGGGGTGGGGAAGCTGCCTCGAGTGGCAGACGGCGAGATACTCGCCAGGGCCAGAGTCATCGAGGTCGGTTTGGGAAGAATGGCGGGCAGCCGAGGTGATGCTCCTGTTGTGCCGCCGGGTACGATGCTAGGAAGCTGCACGGCGGCCGACGTCGGCCCATAGCTGCCGGCGCTGCCTGGAGGCGACGGCGAGCACGAGTCCTCGTGGATAGGCGAAGGCACCGAGGCAGCCAGTGTAGGCGAGAGGCCGCTGGTAGACGACCCAGACGACACGCTGGTCGTACGCTTGCGGCGGTTACTGCCGTGGCTTAGCTGGTGATAGTGCAGCCGGCATGCCAGCTCGGTCTTTTTCAAGTGAGCGGCAATGTGCTTGTATGGCATCTTCTGCAGGCGTGTCTGCAGAAGATACACTTCCTGTACAGCGCCCTGGTTAGCTCCAATCAAACTCTTCATCTTGCGCCGCCGTCCCAAGCTCCATTGCCGGGGTCATGACGTGCTGGCGACAGATACCCCAAAGCGCCCCCAACACACCGAACTACACGTACCTCATCCTCGCTCCAAGCTCTGCCGCCTCCAGTCGACGCCGTCTTCCGATTTTTGGAAACACCATACTCATGCCGGTCCATCAGGTCGGAGGTGGGCGTGTATGCGCTCGGGGCTGTCATGTGCATCGTGGGAGACATGCTGATTTCGTTCTTCTGTCGAGGGATGCGAGACGAAAGGCTTTGTGCGTTCCCAAAGAGAATCTCTTGTGACTACTGAGCGGGATGTTCCACGAATCGAAAATGGCGAGAGCGAAAACAAAAAAGTGGTGTTCGTAACAAAGAACAAGCAGAACTTGCTGCTTTTCAAGAATCGAAATCGTTTCGGTTGCTTCTTGCCCAAGTCTTTTCCTCCCGTCAGCAAACAAGTCAGTCCCGATGCCATGTCAAGGCCGTCTCGAGGACGGAGTGCCGGGCGTAGCAAGATGCATATGGGTGTACGCACACAGGATGAGTCTTGTGGTTCAAGACGGGTCCAAGATCAGGAATGAGTGGAGTTGGGTCGACGAAACGAAGATGGTGGACGTGAATAAAAACTCGTAAGTTAGACCTTTGAGAATGGTAGATTTCTTTCCAAAAAGAGTGAAAGCAGCCAAACCAGTTGGACAAGGTAAAGAACGTAACGGTCTAGCTGAGAAGAGAAGAGAAAGAAAGGGACACACGCAACAGCGTCGTGAATCAAGAGACGATGATGCTCGGTGAAGGTCAAGCCTGGACGATAGAAGAAGAAAAGCAAGAAAGAAAAAGGGTGCAAGCCCGGGACGGAGAGGAGGAGGAGGAGGGATAATAACGTTTTGCTATTGCCATTGCTGTTCGGGAGAGTGTCCCAAGTGTGTGCCATGCATTGATGTTCCGGCTGAGGCACCCAGAGGGAGGGATGGGCAGGGGACGCAGGGGTGGAGTAGGCGACGAGCGCATCCGCAGGCCTCTAGCCTCGTTACAGACATCCGCATCGAGAGAGAGAAAACGCTAGACTGGATCGCGAGGGTGTGCGTGGGTGGCCCCGAGGCCCAGGGTCGGCCACAGATACTGTGACGGATGGAACAAGCATGAATTTGAGGCTCGGGTCGCCAAGTGGGCCTGGCCCTGGTCTTTGTCCTGTCGTGGTAAAGGATGAGAGTTGCGGGGGAAGGGCTGCACACCCGTGACCGTAGCGACACAGACCATGGTCCGGGAGACCCATGTCGTACCGGACTGGGCCTAGTTATCGAGAGGAGAGAGAGAGAGAGCGAGAACGTAGTTAGTCGGGGCTCGACTGACGTGTGCGGACGTGCGCGGATCTGATCTTGCGTAACCGGCCTGTGTGTGTGCCTGGTTCCTTGACCCCGGCCCTGACTCACATACACACGTCTGTCTGTACCTGCATTTGGCTGCACCTGGTCGAGGAGTACGGAGTAAGCCTGGGCAACAATCTTGCAGCGCCTAGCATGAATTCTAGAAACACAGCTTAGATATCGAAGTAGATATTCTTCAACCCGCCCGCGAGAGACTGACTCGTACTGGCGCTAGATCAGATAGACAGTCAAGAACGAACGGCTTGATACATGAGCTGATCGTCTCGACAGCTGCAAGGGAGGATGGAAAACAGGGTACAGAGTGGAGACAAATGGTAAGAGAACAAGGACGGTTCACGCAAAAGGGAAGCAGGCTTCTCGAGAGTGAGCACCAGCGGCAATGGAAACATGCGTCGAGCAAACTGCAGCCATCTCTTGATTCAGAGTATGTGTCACCCCGGCGACCCTTGCCCTTGGCTGACAGAGGAGCATCTGAGAGAAAGAGATTGAGAGAGGGAGAGAGAGAGAGAGAAATGATGGCATCTCCAAAGGCGGTGCCAAGTACCTCGTAAGCCGTGAGCTTGGGTGCGGTGTGCAAAGGACAGGCCAGAGCTCGCAACGACACCAGACGACCCCTTGCCCGGCGCGAGAGCCATTTGTTTCGGTCCCATTGTTTCTATGCCTGAATGACAGAGGAGCCCACCCAGATCGAAGAGCCTCGTGTCCTGTGCGCGCCGCCCTGGCAAGGGCATGCACGTACGCACGGAGGAGATGACGTGAATGGGGAGGCAAGGAGCAAGGAGCAGGGAGCAACGCGTAAGGAGAGGGGCGGATGGGACTGTCAACATCGATCGAACGAGAACAGGTACCGAGCTGGTGGTGGGAACACAGCACGAGCTTGGCCTGGCTAATGAAAGACGCCGCCTGGAGGGGATGCCGATACGGATGCCTGCTCGTCCACAGAGCAGGCAGGCCAACGGCGCCGTTGTCGGGCGACGGCGGTAGTTGCAGAACAACGCGCGACCCGGTCCCAGACCTTGGCTGTGGGCTGGGGAGGGTTTGGCGACTCAGCACACACGCGCTACCTCCCTAACCTAGGCAGGTAGTCGTCGACGATGGTCTTGGTGGTCAGTGCCACGCTCCGTACCTGGGTCGAGGCGGTTTCAATGCAAGGACTCAAGCGTGCCGTTGTGTGTTTGACGATACACGGGGCCGGTTTGTTTCGTCGTCGTTGCTTCAAGGCTGTTACAGACTGCTCGCTAGCCTCCACCTGCAGCCCGTCGATTGGTCCGCCCGAGGCCAGCCCTGCCACGGGTCCAGGCCTTCCCGGGACATCGATGCCCCCTTGTTCGTCCCAAGAACGAAAGGGGAAAGAAGAACAGCTGGATCGAGCATTGGACTCGAGTCTGACCAGCGCTAACGGGGTCCTGAAATAGCGCACCGTTAGGGGATCCAGGCGACCCAAGGACCGTCGGGTTCTCGCTAGCGAAGGCCACCTGAACTCCACCCGCACGGTTTGACATCCAACCACCATTGAAACGAGATCGTGTTTCCATCCAGAAATCTCGATACCCTGGCCAAGGCCTCGATTCAACCCAAGCCACCCTTGCGTTTGCCCGCCCTTTGCTCTCCAATTTATTTCCTCTCTGGGGGTTTCATTCTCTGGCCTTCTCCTTGTTGCTCCTTTTCGTTTCCTCTTCTGAATCGCGACGTGCAGCCAAGTTGCCCTTGACCAAACAAACGACCAGTTCTGTCTCTCTCTCTCTCTTGGCAATGCTCATGCTCATGCCGATACTCATGCTCATGCTCATTCTCTCGTACCGAGGTGATCAAAAGAAGGGTCTTCGCGCAAACTCTGATCCCGGATAGTCTAGATGGTCTCCCTTGTCGCTGACTTTCTCCAAGAGACTGAGCAAACAGCAGCCGCAGCTACCTACCTTAGGGTAGCCTTGCTTCCACCCCTCTTCTCTTACCCATGCGACATCTCCATCTTGGTGTGTTTGTGTGTCCAGATGCACACACTAACGCGAGGTACGGGACGCCACCCGCTGGCCTCGTTGGGACGGTGTACTTCTACCGAGTGCAGCTAGTCAAGAGCCGCCGAATGGCATCGGCAAACCTTTCCTCGCCTCTGATTCATGGGCTGCAGTCATCAGCCCGGGACTGCTCACAGGCGCGCCTTGGCGGTAGCTCTGGCACACCGGTTCCGGTCCAGGAATCGTCTCCCTTGAAACTCGCTAAATCCCTGGTTCAATTTCAGTCTCGTGTCAAGATTTTGCCTCGCTCGCCATCCATCTCGAACCTGGCAAGCCTAGATTTGCGTCCCTCGCCCTCGCCCTCGGCTTCCTAAGATGAGATCACAGGGCTGGCCTGTGACTTGGACACGCGCCTGCGCAAAGCATATTGCTTGACCACTAAGGCGGGACGAAACAACTCGCTCCAAGTCTTGTACAAGAAGAAACACTTCTCGGCGAGGCTTGGGCAAGGCGGGGTCCGAAGGCACCCCCCGAGACTCGCACAGCTCGTTCTTCTTCCATGAATATCTCAGGCCGGGGCCCCTCTGGCTCACCCCCCAAAAGGCATACCGTGGCGAGCCTACTGCAGCAATGCCCGGGCACTGGACAAGCAATCCTTCACAAGAGTGATCATCCAAACTCAAGGCTGTTCCTTCAGGCCAAGACCCGTGCATGAACATGACGGTGATCAATGCGGCATTTCAGAGGAGGGAGATGCCCGGACTGGACCGGGGCTTTGATCAACCAGAGTCACCCGTCTGCGATGCTTGGTACCATGATTATGCGCCGGATGGCGCCCGGTCTTGTCAGTCCAGCCATGGCTGCCGAGGTGTCTCTACACGCTGTGTCAAAGGATCTCCAGATGCGGCAGGCAGGCAAGATGGCCATCGTTCGAGCTTCTGGAAGGCGGATACGATCGCCTCAACCCGTGCAGGTTCGGCCAGGACTCGACGGATCCATCTGAGACGAGGTAATTGCTGACTTTGTTCCTTCAAAAGGCGCTCGCGGGGCCAGCCATCTATGCGTAGTCTCGTCGAGGAGGGAGGCCTTCCAGAGGGCGACGTGTACACTGATCATCGCGAGCTGGTGGATGGACGGACGTTACTATATCATTGAACTACAGGGCACATTAGATGGGCCGGTCAGCGTGGCTCTATGTGACTCTTGCTAGGCCTCTTCCCACGTCGGAGGGTCTGGTTGCGTTCTTCTTTGTCGACACGGACATCACCTCTGGAAGAACCGGTGCTCCTTTTCGGAACAGGGCTGATCCGATCTTTTCGAAGTACAAATGTCTGTGTTCAGACGATAGACATCAGTCATCCAAGCCGACCAACATAGATTTGGCGGCGCTTGGAGCCATGGGCCTGCCAATTACGCGGCAAACGATCTACATTGAGGAGACCGAGGCGAACCTGGAAATGCTGAGAGGTGTGCGTGGAACGGTGCATCATTTGACAATCTGACCCATCTACCGCTGAACGCTCGTCTGATGTTGACGTTCTCGCCTGTGGAAGTCTCGAATGCGCTCATCTTTATGGTGGCAGACCTGGTTGCCAGCGATGCTGTGCTATGCATCCAGTTGAGACGAGCTCCATCAATCATGGGGACTCGTATTGGTACCCGTGGCTGATAAAACTTGCCGCCACCGCTTTGGAAAAGTCTTGCGAACACTCCCTGGTGTCCTATGCCCAATGCCGTGGATCTCATTGCATCATGTCGTATGAAAGGGAGAAGGCATGGAGCTGAGGAAGGCCAACTGATCCAGCGTGGTCATCCTCGAGACTGCGAGACTAGAGAAGGCAGACGTGTATCGGCCAGTGCATAAGAGAGCAGGACGAGTTATCGCGAATTG